TACCGACCCATTCAAAGAAAGACCAAAATTACGGGTCTAAATATGTAGCTACTGCAGCAGGCTGAGCTCATACTTGCCTAGACTTAACCCCGACATACTCAACGTACATATGTACCGCCTGTGAACTTTCCGCGAATGACATTGACCACTTTTTTACATGCCGATTTTCAAAGCCACTAAACTATACTTTTTCTCCTCTTGGTCTGATACCGTCGACATTTCCTGGGTCTAGTGTTAGTTCACCTTGGCGTACACTGTTCAAAGACTATGTGAAGTACATAGACAGGTCTAACTAGAAGCTACAACAACAACACCAAAATTATTATTTTCTGATAGAAGTTATCTCAGCTGTTACTTTGACGATAGCAAGGAAACTAACTTCTTGTCTTGTTCTTTTATCCATAAGATATAGCAAAATAGAAATGTTCAGACTAGTTTTATTCGCGTCAAGAGAAAGATCTCATCTTCCACGAATACTCAATAAATTGGAAGTTGGACCCACATTGTGCGCAGGGTCATTGAAGTTGCCCACGACCATTAAAGAACTGTACCTTAATTTTCAACTATTTCCTCTTCAACAATTAAATATTACTTGCCTTGTTCTCCTTGAAATGTCACCTCAAAGTTGCCACACCAATCGGACACCGAAAATCCCTTCGTCGCCTTCATGCTGCTCTCTAAAATCTTCTCTCGATTCACTTTCAACGCGAGCTTCTCATGATAGTAACTCGCATGAAATTTGCGTACTTCATGATAGAAAAAGTCTTGCTTATCCTTGAAGGTCTCTGAACCGCCGATGTTCTTTAACAAGAAATGCGTAAAGGTAGCCGCTATGATATTACGGTCTCGTGATGCCGACTCGATCTTCGGCTGTGCGCCATCGTCTATTATAAAAACCGGCCCATGTGGCTGTGCAGCCACGGACGGCAAAAAATGAAATTTAGTTGAAGGACACAGACGAAATGTCGCTATACGCTTAGGTATAAATTTTAGTATCATCTCCTTGATAGTGATCTGAAAGATGAGAGACTCCAAATTTGAAAATTGACGCTGTCATTTAATGCGTAACCTCTTCGTGTACTCACTTGTTTGGGTCCCACATAGCAGAGCACCTTTCGGGGCTTACTCTTCGGTGTGCCATAAATGCTCAACAATTTGGCTTCATAACAAATTTTATGCTTGCGTGATGCGATATTCTTATGGACGAGCGTGCTGTCGCTACCTATGACGGTGGATGAGGGAGCATGAAGCGGGTGGAAAAAGGACAGAGAAAAAATATTTAAAATGAAAACAATTGCACGGTAACCATAGGCGTATGCAAAGGTGGAAGCGAAATTTTCAAAGTTCAACAAGCATTTTTGTATGCAGTTATTTAACTTCCGTGGTTGCAAGTGATTTAGACGGGTGTGTAATCAAGGAGAACATTCAGGAACATACCACTCAGCACGATGATGTCAAAATCACCATTTGGTAGCTTCTGTTCAAGGTAGCTAATACGGCGCGCAGACATAGCGGCTCCGGAAAAATCGCCGTCACGGCAACACGTGTGTTCACGCGGTCATAGGTGAAGGTAATGGCGTGATGCAACTTCTCAATGGTTTCGCCATTCAAATCGAAAATCTCAACACGATAGCCCTGCATGAAAACCGAAAATGATTTAGTATTTCAAACTCATACTATGACACGCCTCAATGTAGCGCCATACATTTGCAACGTACTCGCTCCTCCCACTAGCTACAACCAACTAACTACTTACTTTTACCGAATCGTCATTATCCTCGAAGTTGCACGCATTACCGAATTCATCACGCGGCTCAATGTGCAACATTGTCGGCCTTCCAGCACAGCATATCACTGTGCTGGCCAGGCGTATAAAGCGCGAACGACGCGCGGAGCCGATGAGCACAGAAATTTTATACTGTCCCGCTGCGCGTACAGTAAATTTCACTTTGGCGATATTTGCATTATTCGGATCTGTTGATGAGCCTAGCTCGCTAATGGTCACCACCTTGCGTGTACCCTCGGTGACTTCGACGAAAAATTGATCAGTATCACAGATGGGATAAGGCTGTCCGTTGCGTTGAAAGAAGCGTACAATGAAGCACATTGTGCCGCCCACTGGCGCTGGGTCCTTCCAGTCCCACTGCACTTTACAATTGGCCGGCAGTAAATATTTACCAGTCACATATTGTAGTAGTGAGTGGCGTGCTTCTGGCGCCAGTGATGGTTGTGTCATGGCGGCAAGCGTCACTAGGCCAGCGACCGATACGGATACCACTAGCATGCCACCCCATGTCCAAGCGTCTTGATGTTGACTCGATTTCACATGCTTTCAATGCATCCAATTGCGCTTTAGATGTGGGCAGGTTTTGGCGTGCTTGCGACCATATTTGCCAATCTTTGCCGAGTATTTTACTCGCACGTGAATCTTCTAACCAATATACGTCTTCCAATGAGGCTACTTATTAAGTATCTAACACCACTTCATATGAGAGATAGAGTTGGAAAAAAGTTGAAATAGTCATTCGGTGGTCAGTGGTTACCTTGCGGAGCTACGGCACATTACGGCTGCTACGGGTACTATGCACATCTGGGAATTCCAACTAAGTTTCAAGGCTAGAATAAATTTTCCTATTGGCTTTTTTCGCCGCTGGAGGTTCACCTAGCCAAAGTTAAAATATTATGGGAATGAAAACATTATCCTGCCTCGATCTTGAACTCAAAACCTGTCCGGTTTAGAAGTTTGTCAAGCATTCATGCTGAAGACGTATTTTTTTTGTGGCCAGCCACATTCAATACCGTTCACCGGCCCAAAAGCTTTGAGTCCCTAAAACTACGAGGACGTTACTGAATAGACTTCCGTCTTTAGGAAGTGTTAGGTGAGTTTTTTTACAACCGACAATCATCTAAACCTACCCTAACGTATCATCCTCATTATAGAGAAGGATTCTCCAAACGCGGAAGGTCCATTCAAGGCAATCGGCACAAGTATACAACACTGCGACAACTCATACCTGTGAGGGATATGTAGTCTGGTCTGTCGTGGTATGGTAAACTGAATTTCTGTCATCACATGGAAGAATTTTTAAAACTGTCTTTGCTAAGAAATAAATCAGGAAAGATCGGCAAACTTTCAACGGTAAAATTAAAGTTGTAAGAGCAGGCAGTAGACTTGCGAGGCAATAAAAAGCAAGCTTAATTTCATTTCCAAACTTTATTTTGCATACGCGAAATCGATAAAATTTACTATACTATTTTTGCTTGCACGACTTTTACAATGTATAACTACAACAGTTCTCTCACACCTTTCTTTTAATAAAAATAATTTGAGAAATTGCACCCAATGCCACTTTAATTTATACAAAGGAGCCTTAACTTATCTCATCAATCAAAAACTATTTGCACAGTCATAAAAATGTACCTATTTATCATGATGCAATAATGAAAGGTGTTGTACGTTGTGACAGCTCGAAATCGAACTACCTTAGGTCAATATTGTATTTTGGAAGTACAAGAAAAACGGGAAGAAAAAAAGCCCTTTAGTTGAAAAAGTACTAAATTTTATGCCTTCTCAACAGCGTTCCGATTATCTGAATAAGTATACATATGGCTTGTTTTTATTCACAGGAATATGATAATATGCTTAAAATTTTTGAGCTGATGAATACCCAGCTAGAACAGTATGGCATATATAACTCCTTATATAAGCCGCATCACTAAGAAAAGTATCCCTTGTGAATTTGAAATGTTTCCCTTATATTGTACAGGCCAAATAGAGGAATTAATTTACGTGTGATCTTTTGTCCCCCTCTTTCATATGGGCTTCTTGTGCGCATATATCAGGTTTCATAGCTGTTAACCATACCAATAATGCCTCATGCTCAGTTTTACTAGATCAATTCGTGTTCTCGAGAAAAAAAAAAAAAATGTCACGATTCAAAAATCTGAGTATAGAGGCCAATATAGGCCAAAAACGATAAATGTTCAAAATTTGGAGAAAAAAGATTTTTCAGATTTTTGGATCGTGCAAATTTTTTTCTCGGAGAACACGAATTGATCTAGTAAATCTGAGTATGAGGCATTATTGGTATGCCAACAGCTATCAAACCTGATATATTCGCACTAAAGTTTTGTTGTGTTCCACAGTGTTATATAAGGGATACTTTGAGGAATCATATAAACAATTATACATACATTACCCAAGTTCACGTACATCCAAATTATTTATTTGTTTTTGAAATTAACAATATATTTCAGAATTTATAATTAATACGTTGTGTTCATTTTAGTAAATCCACTTTGATTTTTAATTGTACAAAATTTATTATATACATACAGTATCGGTCATATCAATAGCAACCCTATTTCAAAGTGATATTATTTCCCTCTCATGTTAATTTATTTCTAAGAATTTACAATAAAAATAAAGTTCAATTTCTAACAAAACCCATAAGAACCGAATTTTAAAACTTCGTAGAAAACTACAAAAAATACAACAAATTTTCACCCAAAATTCACATTTTTTTCTCAGAAGTCTTAGAATTTTTTTGAGCACTCAGTTTTATAGCCCCTTCAATTTTAGTCTTATTAGATGCAAGTTTGAAGTGGCTAAAAATTACCTTTGATTTTTTTATCTTTTTTTAAAAAGCAATCGCATTTTTGGCTAGTATGTATCAGGAAGAATTTATAAGGATTGAGCCAAGAACTTGTGTGAGCAAATCCAATTTTTAGCAGCAAATGTCAGTTACGCGGTTTTGTACTTAAACGACGATGCTTATATTAACAGGAACGCTGCAATTTAATACACGGGTGAAGCAGTAACTCAGCACAGCAGAAGCATACAAACAATCTGCAAATGAATGGCTTTTTAGGTTTTTAACAAACAAAAACCTGGTTTCAACTTACTTCAACGTGTCTAAAGCACAACGCACACACTAATGCAAAGGCGCAACTGGGACGCAACACTATAAAACACGGGCGGAGCAATACACGGGGGCAGTAGGAACGCAGCACAGCAGAAGCGTCCACAAAATCTGCAAATAAATGGTTCATTAGGTTTTGAAATGACAAAGAGCTGGTTCCAACTTACTTCAAAATATCTGCAGGATGATGCACACAATCAAATTCGGCCGCAGCTGCAGTTCACCAGAGAATGCTGCAAATGGAATGGTTCATCAATGAAGTCAAAATAATATGTTGTAACTTACGTGTATTAGCTCTTAATTACAATACCAGCACAGGTCGGCCAGGAAAACACTAAGGAAATTATCTAATAAATGCAAAATTATAATTAATTTGCATGGTGGAATAATACAAGGTGTTGGATATTGACAGCGTTCTCGCTCTAATCCGCCATCTTGGCTCCCTTAGCTATATCGGTGTTTCCCTCTTGAAAAAACTACATTTTATCGCCTTTAAAAAAGTACTAAACTACCTCATTCCCTATTCCAAAACTGATTTGCAATCACTGAACAATTCTTTGACATTTACTCTATTCTTATCGATGGCAACTGAAAATTAAATTAGAAATTTCAACATTAATTCGGCAAAAAAACATCGGTTTAGAGTTCTCCCCAAGGATTTGTAGTTATTTTGGTCGGTGCTTCCTTCCGCTGCAATTCCGTCTTTTTCTACGATATAACTGTTTTCTCGGTAAGTTTAGATGGAAGATTTAAACAAGAACTACGTATTTAACTATGCATCTATTCCCCAGTGATTTTTGCTGCTGCAATCCCGTCTGTGGTTCACTGCCACTGGCCCTGCTTTTCCAACGATATAACTGTTTTTTTGGTAACTTCTACCGCTAAGACTTTGTTGCTTTTTCCCTTTTCCCTAAAAACATAATAATGCTACAAAGCTCAATAACAATATGGAAACAAATGTTAATATGCCACAATAATATTGACAATAAATAAGATTTCACTACGATTGAATTTTCTATTAGTAACAAGGTAGTTATAGTGAATGTTTTATTCGATAACTAAAACTATATTTGATGTTTGTAAAAAATATGCCTAAATCAGCCAAATACCCTATGTGGGTCGGCTGAATCAGTAAAACGTGACAGTAGTTGACTTTTGAGGTTAATATATCGGTCTTGAGTTGGTAAGGTTTTTAAAACATCCCCAGCTTCCTTTAAGCATCGCTGCTAATTGCTACTTTCGCGAATTTAGCTTATCATAATATACCGTTTGTAACTATTTATATGCAAAATTTTATATGAAAAATAGTACCAAATTTCGTACTACTTCGCAAAGCGGGCTTTTTTTCTTCCCGTTTCTCTCGTGCTTCCATATTACAACCTTTTGTAAGGGAGCTGTCGACATGAGCTGTCACTACGTACAACACCTTGTATAATTCCACCATGATTAATTTGTAAAATAATTCGGTTTTATTACAATACTTACCAAATTTCAAGCAATTAGAAAACAAATGTCAGCGAATAAGAACAAAACGAACAACGAAAATTGAATCAATGTAGCTTGTTTAGAATTTTTTTCTAATATTTTGGGAAATGTTCAGTGAAATTAGCACAGTTTCTCCTAAGGTAGTTCAAGATGGCGGATTAGAGCGAGAAGTTGCCAACGTATAACACCTTTCATTATTGCATCATGCCTATTTATTATGTATATTAAAAGCCGGTAATATAAATAAATTTTTGTTACGACACTTGACACAAAAACAAAAATTATCCCAAAAATATTTAGTATGACTACTTAAGTATTTTGGACTAAAATTGGCATCGATTATTGACAAAGCCATTTTCATAACCGCAACTGCCAATCAATTACCTAAATATGTATGCACCTTTCCTTATTCCTTCGTAGGTTTGGCGGATTGTGAGTGTGAAATATATACTCGCAGTTAAGGTAATTTTTGGTGCGACCAATTCAAATTAGCCGTCAATATTTTCGACGTTTTACTAGCAACAAAATGGGCAGTGAAATATTCAAGTGAGTGAGTGTGAGTAAGTAAATTACATACTTATTGGTAACAAGTACGGCACGCTTTATCACAGACGCCGATCTCAACTACCATTTAGATATACTTTTGCTAAAAGTTGAAACGTTGCAATGGTCACCGAGGACAAGGTCGAGGTGAACCTCACGCGCTCTTAAGAGTATATTTATCTGTGTGTGTGTAAGGAATGTTGACGCATAGTAGCCGCAACTAAAAGGTGAAATTGTCGAAAGTAGAAAAGCATAGTTAAATAAATAAGTATGTATGACGAAGATGATGATGACCTCATAGACCCAGCACTTAGGGAAGCACGCAAAGATGTGCCCACGTGCAAATATACCCAAATATGAAAGGCAACCCAGCTGACCAAAAAGTTTTCAGTTTATACATCAAATAAATAATAGCACCCAAGTTCAATTCCCGGTGCGACCCACCAACAGGCAATGCCAAGGGTGTACCACAATATCTCCAAAATCAAAATCGCCAAATTAAAATCCCCAACATCCAGATATAAAGTTTTTTGATCATAACTTAAGATTTTGGGGGTGTATTTGAAATTATGCGAATGCCAAAATTATTTTTTAGACCTGTTCTAGCACCTCTATCACATTACATAATAACTACATGCAGTCAATTTTTTTTGTAGCACCGCGTAGTAGGAGTTTCTTGCTTTATATTTTGTATTTGCTGATAAATAAATCAAATTACATGATAAAAATATAGTAAGGTAGAACCGCTGAGAGTCACTTTTAAAATTCTTGACGTTTCCAAACAATTTAATTTTTAAATTTACTCACAAACTCACACACACATTTTCATTTTCAATCTCAAGCAACAACAATTTCGAACAATTTCAATTTTTTATTTTCACTTTTATATGATTTTAAAATGTTGGCAAACTTCAAAAAAAAAATCATGGCCGACAAATTGAGAGAACGGTTCTACCTTGCTATGTTTTTATCATGTCAAATTATTCGGTTTTTTCGAAACTTTCTAATTTTTTTTAAGAAATTTTTTGAGACTTTTTGAATTTTTCCGAGTTTTTTTCTGGACTTTTCGGAAGTTACTCTGGTTTTATCGTGGGTTGTACGGAACCTGTCGGTGGTTTTCAAGCCGAATTAGTCTCCGAATTCGTCTTCGTTTTGGTCTTGGTCTTCATATTCGTTTTCGTGTTCTTTACTATTTTTCCCCGGAGGGTTCAAAATGGAGATTGTAGCCTATTTTACTCTATGACATGGCAGTCTGATTAACATCCAGGGATTAGTTAGCAATAATAAATAAACTATCTAAGGTTCAGAGGTTGGCGTACTGGATGGTCAGAGTGGCTTTACCCTCAACGGCGGTAAATGCGCTTGGTGCACATTCTCCAGAAATATGGAAGTTATTCCTGCAAACTTTCCGACGAATTATTTCCACAGAGAGATCCGCTCTAGCAGCGAATGCGAGGAGGACATAATCTTGAACTTGTATCGTAATTCAGTGGCCCCATACACCGATGGCTCCAAATAAAATCTTAGGGTGCGACGTCGGCGGTAATCGCAAGAGCTCTCAGTCTCAAACTCAGTTTTTTATTGCCGAAATTCAAGTTAAACTGGCAACAAGCAAGGAAGTTGCTGATCGATTATTTTCTTTGTCCAGGCAGTCACGCAGTGTAGACATACTCTAAATGAGGTGGCAAGGATGCACGTCATAGATTTAATCTCAAAGATTAGTATAAATATTTATTAGGTAGATGAACTGACAAGGAAGAGGGAAACCCGATTGGTTGCAATCAGTGCCGCTCTGAATGCGAATATTCGGCTATCATTTAGGTAAAATAAGATGCAGTCCCACATTTCCTACCGTTCTCCGGTCACTGCTTGAAGAGAACGTGCGCCAACTGAATGGGTGTGTAGTCGAATGACCTATGTGGCGATGTACAGGAAATCGAGAGTGAAAAATATTATCCACATAAGTCATTGCTCCCTGATGTCAGCATTCGTTCCGATATTCGTTCTAAGTATCACTAATTTTGTGAGTTTCTGGCTAAACTGAGTTCAGCTAGGATCAACGATTTTGTGACCTTCATCAGAACGGCAAATCGGTTCCACTTCTGGTGAAAGAAAAATTGTAAAGCACTTCTCTTACGCTATCACAATGGGTCCATAACGGTCGAAATGTGCTCTCTCCAAAGCTGGATGAGGGCAGCCGCGGTAAGATACGTACCATCCTCTCCAGCTGCAAAATTGCCTTTCGTACCTCGTCATAGTCCTGGTCCAAAAGCCTTCTATAAGTCGCACAACTTTCTGATAAAGTTTTAAACATTTCAAGCTTCTTGCACTCATGGCACCCTATGCAACCGTTAGACGTTGAACTTTCCTTGTATTGGATGCAAATTGATTTTTTGTTTTGTTCTTGGATAGGGCGTAAGTCCAAAATACTGGACAAGTGCCTTCCGTCTACTAATATGTTTGTTTTGGTTTCTCGGATTTCGATTTAAAGACACCCAGATGAATACTTCTATAATGGAACCTACTGCTGTAGACTACAATGTTTCCGACCCCAACAAAATCGACCAGCCTCAGTCTGTTTTGAAATGACTGCATTTTTCGATGGAGGTACCAAATATCATCTTTTTGCCCATTCTGACATTGACATCGCTAAGCACGATTTTTGTATCGCAATCGTAGGTGCGCTCCAAGCGCCAGTAGCAGTGGTCTTTCGACACCTCGTCCATCTCATAGGAGGGCATTCTTTGGTTGCAGCCTTAATATTCGTGCGGACTTCGATCAGCTAGGCAGAGGGTCCTTTCCTTTTAAGATTCAGAACATTCCAGGTGCATCCGCTTTAACTGGAGCACAAATTTTTAATAGGTTAGGAAGGCGCATACGAATGACTCGCACTTCCACTCGGAGGTAGACTTACCCATTGTGAATGCCCTCTATGAGTGTGAGGAGGAGGCACATACTTCTAACCGAAGTTATTGCATATTGTCAGTGTATGTTCAACCATTTATTATCCCGAATAAAGCTGTGAAGCTCCCATATTTTTACTTCCGCCATCTCTCCCAAACTATTGAAAAATCGTGATCCCAAATGTCATTGCCATTGGAAGTGGTAAATCGATTCCGCTTCTTCCTCATTCCGACAGCTTCTACAGAAGAAGCTTGTGGGTATACGCCCTCGATGTAAATAGCATTGGAGTTATAGTGCCCTGTGCCGACGCCGGTTAGAGCCCTTACTGCAGATTTCTTTAGCATCAATAATTATTCAGTACGACTCTTATTGAGTCTCGGAAAATCACTGATAGTGGATAGTTATCCGCCTCGCTAATTTGCACTTCCGAG